TCGAAAAATGCTTCCTTAAGAAGTTATCGCTCAAAAACCTCTGATGCAAAGGAAGAGCAAAAGGTGAAAAGAAAATGAAATAAAAAGAAAATGAAACTTAATAAATTTCTTGAAAAAACGATAAAAATAAAAAATAAAAATCTTTTTCTTTTATGAAAATAAAATAAATTTTTTTAAACTAAAATAGCACGTAATAGTAGAAAATGAATAAAGACGTGAAAAAACTAACTGTTCTCAAAATATCCCCCCCTAGCTCCAATACACTTTCGGCATCGAGTAATGACCGATCTAGTCGCTTTACGGATTTCCTCCTGATTCAACTTTAATCGATCAAAAGTCGTATTACGTATGCGCATCTAACAATAAGTAACAAAAGCACTTTTTGTACGTTTGAAACTGATTATATCAAAATCTATGGAACGTACAACAATAATTTTGATCTCATTTGGAAGATAATTTAATTTTCTACAACTTTTGTTTCGGTACTTTTTGTTAAAAAACGCACATTTTTCATGATATTTGGAAAAATGTGTAAAATAATCACGATTTCAGAGGTTTTTGAGCGATAACTTCTTAAGAAAGCATTTTTCGATCCATGTTTTTATAGGAAATTTTTTGTTCAGAATTAAATTTTCTATAAGATCTCAAAGTCTGGCTGTTCGGGGCCACCCTGTATAGGATATCCTTTGATGGGACAATCGGATATGGTATAAAACTTTTTTTTTTTTTGTAGAATTATTTTCTTTTCTTATAGCATCAAAATATTACGGGATACTCTATATATAAACATGTCACAATCTTTTTTGATTATCATTAATAATGATTTTAATTTACATTAATCATTAATAATGATTATAATGATTCATTATATCAACACACACAGTCTTGTATAATCAAATCATATCTATAACTGAATACTTTCTACAAATTATATAATTTCTAATTTATCTTGAAATGTTTCTCATATTCTTTTAATCCTACTTCTTTAAAACAGACGCGTTGACAATTTTCTCGCTATTTTAAATACATTCGAGCACGATCATTAGATCTTGGATTTCTAAAATAATTATAAAGAATAAGAGAGATATAAAACTGTTTTTAATGTGGTGCAATTATAATGTTCTTTGTATATTATCATATCATCGGCCTTATGCCAAGATCACGAATTTTCTAGTTGTGTATTATCGCCATTTGAAAATTTAATTTGTTCTGAAAAATCAGGTCCCTGTTTTATTCTTGTAATTCTTTCAGATTATCGAAGCACTATACATTAATATATGTAATAATAGAAGCAAGAGTGATGTTATGATTATATATAAAAAATAGATTAGAAATGAGTTTACTTAACATATGATAATAGGTAATAACTTGATGTGTGTGTAATAAGTTGACGAGTATATAATAATGTTAATTTCAAAAAATAATCTTTATTTTATAAACACAAATGCAGCTCCACTACACATATCAATTTTACAATACATATAACTATATAATCTTCTATGTTAAAGACTTAACTTTGAATTGGTTAAAATAACATATGTAATTTTTGGTTTCTTAACAGTCACTTTTCCTAACTTATCAGAAAAAAATTTCATAAGACAACTTTAGACTAAATGAAAAATATAGAAATAGAAAATGTGTAACAATAGATTAATGTGGTGCGTAGATTAATGAGTTTTATTGTATTTAAACTAATATATCCATTTTTCTGCGAATAGAAAATGTTATTGCTATAGTATACTAAATATATATAACACAGGATCTATGTTAGAATTTAGTATAAATAATTTTTAAATAAATGCATCCTATAATATATAATATAAGACTTGAGAATGCGCTCTCAGGGTGTAAATATAATATTATATATTCATATCACACTTTAACTCGTAGAGTAGACAACTTGAGCTATGAAAATCTGCATTACAAACAAAACAGTTTATTATATGATTGCAGTCTAATCAATAATTAAAGAAATACAAAAATAGTTTAGCAAACAATATATATAATTGAAATGCTGATTCTTCACTCAGTCTGCTTCTCTTCGTCTTTTACGGGATTTTGCTTGGATTTTTTTGACTTTTCTCGTTGCTCGTTGATGAAAGGTTTTCCAGTACGTTCGATCTGGATTGTTCTTTCCATTTCCTCCTTCAATGGTCGTTTCCTGGGCGCAACAATTGTCAGAAGACCATCAGAGGACAGCCTGGATGTCAGCTGCTCGATATTAGAGTCCTCTGGCAACTTGCATTTCCTGACGAACTGACGAGACACCCAGCCATGCTCGTCTCGCTTATCCTCGTGCTTGGCCGTGATAACAAGACAATCATCCACGATCTTTACCTCGATTTCGTGCGGCTCGAATTGTTGCACGTCTAACACTACCTGGAAGTCATCCTTGTTCACGGAAGGAGGAGGAACAGATGGACCATTGTTCTCACGTTGCTGCATCAATTCCAACAGAGCCTTGAGCTGATTCAAGGTGGGATTCCGTCGCGGTAACATGTCCAGATAGAGGCTGGTGCTAGTCCTAGCCGGTGACGATAGATGTTCCGGGCGTAGACTCAGACCCAAGTTTTGGTCCAGCAGACTATGAGGATGCTCTAGATCCTCCCCCCATTCAGAAAACAGCAACGGGATGAAAGACATTTTCTCGCTCTGACACTGATCTATTAACAATATATATATATGTATTAGGTAAGATACGAGATGAAACAATTTGTTCTTAATTCGTGTTATCGAATTTACGTACCACAATACAACTGCGTATATATACTTATTGTTATATATATCACGTTATAACATTCACAATACAATCCGACTGACAACAGCTGACAAGATACTGACAGATACTGACGTAATATGGCTTCTAACCGGCGTATATATACAGCTACGCATGCGTCGAGAAACGTTTCGATCTTTCGAGACAAGAACGAGCGAAGTTTCTCGTATATCCCCAGCAAACACAAAGTAACAGTAACATAACATCAATGTTATAATTTCCCATTCAATAATGTAACTGCAATATAACATGCCTTGTACGTAACAGTAACATTGTTGAGTGGAAAATTATAACATTAATGTTATGTTACTGTTACTTTGTGTTTGCTGAGTTCCGACAAAGGAATAATCGCGAACACCCAGTGAGCTTTATTGAGAGGATGAGCTCTTTAAGAGGACTTTTTAAAGACTTAATTAAATTTTCTTAGAAATGATATCAGTAAGTTATCTTTTTGTAAGATATCTTTCACAAGAGCTCTTTATGATATCTCTTCATAGATATCTCTAAAATCTCTAGCAAGCGTGCCATTTAAGATATTTTACGAAAGCCGCACACATGGGCAAGCAACGTACATGTGAACTAGAGACCCTGTGTTCTAATGTGAACTGCGTGCCACTGTCTTCAAAAAATGTAAAGGGCGTTTTTTAATTCATCGATTGATCAATCGCATTGCTCACTGGGATATTATTTGATCGCAATTATATCTGCAACACAACCCGTCCCGATGCCACAAATAATTACCCAAAACATATATACTCTAATGAGGAAGATAAAGACGAAGACAATTAAACTTTATGAATACGTTTGTGTACTTTTGTTAAAATCGATGCTGCAAATAACATATTTGCGAATACAGTGTCGGAGTGTCGAGAAGTCGAGATCATTCTCGAAGTGCCGAGATAAAAGTATCGGCGGTCGTTGTATTATTACGCGACATATCTGTACCGACTGAAAGTAATATAGTTTATGTATTATCGCGTAAGAAATGTCTGTGAAGACTATCTACCTAAGATAAAACGTTTTGCACGTCTCGTCGATGACTGCGCGATCTGTGAATTGAATATTTGCTTCTCTATCAATTCTCTAATTTTCTCTATACTTCGTGACTCAAACGACTTCAAATTTTGAATTTAATACATAGCAGAACAAAGATCGAAGTAAAGAGTCTCTTTTAATAGTAATAGACACGTAATTCTGTTGAAGTCTCATCTATCTAGTATGTGATATTAGAATCGTTTCATCTTGTTTCTCTCTCGTAAATTATCCTACTCTTTCAATTCATAAGAAGAGTCGTACAAACAAGATACGTAGAAATGAAGGAGGAAAACGTGTTACACGTAGAAATATGTCAATATGCCAACAGGTATTGTTTATTTTAGATTAAGTTTTATTTTGCCAAATGTATCATCGTGTAATATGAATTTATTATCTGATCTTTGGTGAGAATTGATGTTCATATCATTGTTTATGTTAACCTTAAAAGCAGTTGAAAAGGTAGTTTAATTCCATTATGATTCACATAATATCATTGCAATTTGATACAAGTAAATATCAAACGCCAAATATTACGTTATAAGAAAACAACTGAAAAAATTGTTTCATCATGTTTATTCTTTTGACTACTTGATAAATTTCATGGAAAAAAAAAATATTTTTTTTCATGTTTATGCATACTTTTTTCAAAGTTCATTGAAACAATTAAGTATAACACAAAAACTTGTCATCGATTATTAAAGGCTTTATTAGTGTAACAGATGTTCATGAACAATTTCAATAATAATTTGCGTGCTTAGCTGCAACTAGAATCTAAAGAAAGTTTTCAAATTTATATTTTATCATATCTCAATGAAATTAAATGGTTTGATTGTATTGATTATTTTAGCACATTGTCGAAAGAAATAATTGAAGAGACAGTAAGTGCAGAATTTAAGTCGTTGAAAGAGATTTCTCTCGATACTATTCTATATGGTAAAGATTTTGTAAACAGTATAGTCATACAAAATCATGTTGAATCTATAATATGCTCATCTAATTATATAGAGGTATTATCAATTTTCTACATTAATTTTATGCGGAAAGATATATTCTGTGCATACATATTATACAGATATGCACATAATTATATTTCAGAAAGGAAAAATTAAAATTGAAGGGGCTACCATTAAATATTATATCTATAGATTGACACAGGAGGGTGTTGCGACAGAAACAATGAACTGCGACTCTGATGAATTGCCAGTCGCATCTCATTGGTTGTTACCTGCGCAGGAATTTCACTACATGTGGGAGAGTCTATATTATGATTGTGACATAAAGAATAATGTTAGTAAATTTAGTAGATAAATTTGTACATACAATATTAGAAATGTTTTTTTGTGTATACTGTTAAAGTCAGTTGAGGTATATTTTATTATAAAGATTTTTAATCAATTTTTGTCTTTTTTTTTTTTAGTTATTGCGTTTTGTGGAGACAACAATGTTGTTTTCTGATCTCGCTGTTAATTCTAACATTATAAGTTGGAATAAAGTGGTGTTGTTGCACGGTCCTCCAGGTACAGGAAAGACCAGTATGTGCAAAGCTCTAGCTCAAAAAGCTGTAATTCGTATGAGAGATCGCTTCACTCATGGAGAATTCATAGAGATAAATAGTCACAGTTTATTTTCAAAATGGTTTTCCGAAGTAAATATTCAACTATTATTTATTTTTATCTTGTGCTTCACACATAGAACAGTGGTATAATGTAAAATCTTAAATTTATACATATTAGCTAATAATATTCACATAATTAGCTAATAAGATTTAGATATTATTGTACCATCTAGTATCAAGTATAACAGGTAAACAGATATTCTGTATTTTAATAGAGTGGGAAACTTGTTATGAAGCTATTTGACGAAATAAAAAATTTGGTACAAGATGAAAGAGCATTGGTATGTATTTTGATTGACGAGATAGAATCATTAGCTCACGCACGTAAATCGTGCAACAACGGAACCGAACCATCTGACTCTATACGCGTTGTAAACGCGCTGCTCACGCAATTAGATCAAATCAAGCGATATTCGAACGTTTTAATCTTAACGACGAGCAATATGACGGAAGCCATAGATCTTGCGTTCATCGATCGAGCTGACATCAAGCAATATCTTGGATATCCATCTGAAATCGCTATTTATAACATTTATCATTCATGCCTGAAGGAATTAATGAGGGTACATATATTTTAATTCTGTACGATAATGTGTAAATGTGAGAAATGTAGAAAATAATATAGAAAATTGATTAGTGATTGCATTAATAAAATGTCTATTTGCAATTAAATGTGTCTATCTGTGAGAGAGAGAGAGAGAGCTCTTTACAATATTAGGCTATATTGATAAGTTTTAGTCAAATATTAATACAATCTATTTTTTAATTTAACATTACTATATATTATTTTTTTGTCTATTCCAGACTGGAATTTTGGAGCAAGAAGAGATATGCGATATATCGCAGTTAAAGCTATTCGGATACACGGAGGATTCGAACACCAAGAACAGTTTAAAACTGTTGGAACTTAGTCGTGTTAGCGAAGGCTTGAGCGGTCGCACCTTAAGAAAGATACCATTTTTGGCGCATGCTCTTCATTTACCCGCAGATAGAACTACACTGTCCAAATTTCTGAAAGCCATGCATTCGGCTATTCTGAAACAAGTACAGCAAGAAGGCGAATTGCAGCAATCATGAACAAAAAGGTTTCTTTCCTATTTATTAGCATTATTTTATAATTTATGCTATTTTTTACACATGCTTATATATCAACATATATTATTTAATAATACGCTTTTTCTTTTATTTGTCGTAATTTTTTTACTTTTTTATAATAAATAATAATCATCGCACATACGATTAATCGCTACTAAAGTCGATTTATTATGGACATATGTAAAATTGGAATAATTGATTTTATATAACTTTGGAAACAAATATTTAGTCGCTGATTTGAAACAAAATTTAAAACTTCTTTTTATGTATGCGTTTCTTGATCTAGAAATATGTCATCGAAATACAAAACTATATAACAGTTTTTATGAGGTCCAGTTTTGCACCGATCTTGCCTCTCGTCGTGCAACCGCCATTAAAATCAGTGAGATGCGACCGCTATTAAAGTTACGCTTCGTTCCGCTTCGGCGACGCGGACTATACTTTGCGCCGGTACGTAAGTTCTTTATACAATATTATCGCGATGTATCTTTATTTCGACTATAGACAAATACTACTGTAACTATCTTACTTATCGGGGATAAAATACAACGAACATTGCGATAATAAATAACAAACTAAAAAGAATTAATAACGATATAAAGATACACAACAATTGACAGTCTCTCGGATATACTTATTTTATATCAGGAGTTTCCGATATAAATATTAGATTATACAACATTCGCGATATACCAACATACATTTTGTATACACATATTATACTTCTGATTTGATATAATCTATATTAAATCATAAAAAATACGCTTGTTAAAAATGGCGCTAGACTGATAGAAAGAAAATGAATACAAGCAAAAGTAAAATTTGTTGCTGCGAGAAGTAGAATCAGACGATGAAAAAAATGAGATTTGACATTGGCGAAAAGTTCATATTTTTTTTACACGATAGTAGGCGGCTGCAGAACCGCCGGCGCTCTTCTAACTTTTAACGCTTCTGGACTCATGGCATGTGTCTGCTTCGCGATGTGATTGTAATCGTACGCGCTCTGCCCATTGTCCAGACTAGACTTTCTCGTGAAGGTCTTTGCGTGAGACGAATTAATAGATTTTTGTTGACTTATCGACGTGCCGTTATAGAGCGCGTCAGCCGCGATACTGCCCTCCTCCATCATCTCTTGTCGATATCGTCCACGTCGTATTCTTAGCAACGAGTACACGCCGATGGAGATCAGCAGCAACAGAAACAGCAGACCGACCGCCACGGCCGCAGCTATTACGCGTATCTCTGTAGGATCTTTCACTATCAACTTGATATTCGTCGAGTCCCGACCCTTCTCACTCTCTACCAACAAAGTATATATCCGGGCATCCTCCTTTTGCAGATCCTTAATCTCTAGCTTAGCCCAGTAACAGTTGGTCACCATTTTGTTCTCAACAATAGGCTCCAACGGCAGGGCCTCATACTTTGGATGAATGTTTTCTCCTGTTTAAAGTTCAAAAGAATTAGTAAAACGCTAAAAGACAGAATAAACACGATTTGTTACCAACTTGAATATCTTTTTAAGAAAGGATTTTCACATTAGATCAAATCGTATTGCGTACCAGCTCGAATATGAGAACTACCCCACTGCCAAGCGACCAGTTTCGGCGGCGGCCGCGAACAGAATCGGGATTTGAGCCTGTGTACAGGTTCGCCTGCCCATCCGATGGACTCGTAAAAATCCCGATCGCCGGGTAATGGCCTGGCCTGTATCTCCGGTGGTCCGGTCACATGTAGCACGTAATGTACATCACTGGCAGTTTCCCGTTTGACCCCGTTGATCGTGTTGAAGGCGATGCAACGGTATTCCCCCTCGTCGGACCACATGATGTTCTCAAGACGCAGACGTCGACCACCACCTTTGTTCTGCACGTGGTTTTCGATGGTTTCTGTAGAACCACCGCGAAGATGTACCCATCTGTATTGAGCGGGTGGATTGGCCTCGAACTCGGGGCATTCGAAGGGCTCGACCGCGGAACTCAGCAGAGCTGTTTCCTCCATGTCCATGGAGGTATCATTTTCTATTCTCTTTAATTTTGGTTCATCTATGGAGAAATATGCCTCAGTTTTTTTTAATGTTAAACTATAATAAGTAAAAAGCAGTATTATGGGAAAATATAAATTGCATTTTTGTGAATGAATTTACAAGATACTTGGAATCTTTCTTTTATTGGTCTGTATAGGAGAAGAATCAAGCATTAACAACTTTCACAGGAATATAATATAATATCGTGCATAATACAAACGTCTACATATGCGAGGACCGTCATAGCGCGCTGTTTGATTCTACGAAGAAAGCGATACGTTGATTGAATGAGATTTGAAAAAAAGGAAGGTAAAGAATAGAAAATGGGATATCAGTGGGTATATCAGAAGCAAAGTATTGTAATTGTACGAACATTGCACATCGAGTCTGTAACTCGCGGGAGCGCTTTCACCGATGATGTTGGCCGCCTTGCACGAATACAGACCAGCATCGTGCCTCTTGATCGGCTCGAAGCGCAGCTCGGCACCCCATACGCTATCATTCAGCTGCGTCGTTCTGCTTTGTATCAACGACGGCGGCGACGGTGATGCCCCGGTATCGGCCAGCGACGCGTCGAGCGGCGCTGAGTCTTTGAACCACTTGATGCTCGCAACCGGATTAGCGTCCGCCAGGCACTTGAGGCTCAAGAAGTTTGCCGAATCCTCTGGAGCAACCGTAAGCGGCTGCGGACTCGTCTCAAGTCGCACTTCCGGCGAATCTGAAAGTACCTCTGTTACACACATGTGTGTTGCGGGACTTTATCCGTCGATAGAGACGCAAAAGAAGATCTCTTATTTCCGAAGATCATGTTAAATCTGTATTAGAAAAGTGGAAATAATATATTTATCAGCTTTTCATTTACTAGCTTTCTCTAATACATGTTTTTAATTGTGAAACTGAAGTAATTAGAAATAAATTAATTTACTTTATAAATTAATTTTTAATATATAGAAATAAATTATTTGAATAAATAACATAAGGAGAGCTATCAGAGATTAAAAGCAAAGAAAAAAATGGTCTCTTCTCTAATTCTTATATATATTTTGTGAAAAAGATACATATTTTTTTTGGCTTAGAAAATACATTTTTCGTAGAGTTTTTGAAAAAGCTTTCGCGATGATTATTTGATATCCCATTTAAAAACGATCAAATTTATACTTATGAGATAAAATTTTTGTTTATTGTTTTAGAGAGATCTATTGTGTACGTACAATGAACGTCCAGTCGCGATTCTATACTGGCCGGCGTTAAACTCGACGGATGCACGGTCACACATCGGATCGGCAGACCGTGATTCTCCCTCTGACCACGCACCCGTAGAAGACTATGAGCCGCCCAGGTCTTCCGATTATCCACCTCTGTTGCGTTGTTCTGCTCCCCCAAAGGTTCCACCTCGTCGTTCCCTATGAACCTGCTCGACAAATTTGCCAGCATTACAAGTATGAGAAAACTTAACACCTCATTTAATTTTTAAGCAGACTGGAACGGATTTATAATTCACGAATTAGTTATGGACAGTTTAATATTGAAAATTGAGAACTCGGGCGATAAATCCCTTTCAGTATTTTTGCTCAAAAAATCGATTCTAAAATGATTTAAGAATTCAAGAGTGAAAGATAGTTTGTTATATAGATACAGAATCCCTTTTTTATTATATATATTCCAATTTTTTTTCTGTCAAGAGGGGGGTCCATCGACCTGTCCAGTTTGATGCGTTACGCAAAGAATGTGCAAATGAAAGTTTGATGTTTGTGATTAACCGAGGATATAGTTCCGTTTCTGCGAGTGATTCACATAATCCGCTGACCGCGGACTAGCCTTCTTCCCGGAAAAAAAAGGAAGAAGGTCCGTAACCCTTTTCTACTGTGATTCACAGGCGCAGCGACGGGACTACGCTCGCGGCCAGTTTCTCCGTTTCTCTATGGCTATAATCTACATAATTATACTCGGCATAGCCGTGTCCGCAATGCAAAGAAAAAGAAAACATCGGGCAGGGATCATTAAACCGCGTAGCTATTATTGGTCGTAAAAGAATGCGCAGTCGATATTGTTTCAGACAAGTCCGAACGAAATTCTTTATTAGGACCGGGAACCAAAATAAATGCGTGGAAACGCGAATGTTACAAATGTTTCTCTTGAAATAGATTCGCGCGCAAGTCGCTATATTTTCTATAAGCAAAACGCGAAAATAAAAAATGGTTACTCTTGCGCGGATAAGAATATGTAAAGATGCTAAATTACGAAAAATTGCACGGGCGCAAAAGTTTAAAACTTTTAAATTAAAAGAAGGATGCCTGAAAGATTAAGATGATTTCACAACGATTTGCGTTGCCTGAGATGTTACATTTGGTAAGACAGTAACATCATGCCGGAAAGAATTTTAGTTTTCCTTCAAAGGTTCCATTCATTAAAGAGCCCCTTGTGAAAAGGAATACATATGTTACTATTCAGGTCTTAAATTACATCCCCTGGTTCTCTTCTGGGAATAAATGAAGCATACACTTTCAAAAGAAGCGCGTGCCATCCGTAGAACAGATGTTTTACATCGTAAGAACATAGATAAGGCGCGGCTAAATTCATCAGACCGTAAACCAAAACGACGATCCCTCCGCGCGGCCCTTTCCTGTATAAACATAACGTCACGGATTCTTGTAGTCTATGTGCTCTCAATACACTACAGTGAACTGTCGAAATTTATGTTTGAAAATGACCATATTTTTTGCGAATAAAGTGTCGGAACGTAAAGCGTGCAAGTTAGCTTCACAATGGTGTTGTACAAAAGTGTTAACATAGACTTTCGAGCGAGTTTTTGTTTGGCAAAAAGGATTGCAAGGAAATTGTTTCGATTTTCGTATTTTAAATATCGGGATGTCGTTTTAAAATCACGAAAAATATTTATAATATTCTGCCGAAGAATTTTTGTGAAGAAGAATTTTTTTTGGTATTTACTATTATTGGGAAAGATAAATATACTTTAAATTTTGAGAATTTAAAAAAAAAATACGTTTTAATTTCAAAAAAGAGATTATAAGATTTTTTATGAAAATGGAAATATATTTTATATGATACATGTATACATAGCCAAGTTTAGTGTAAGAAATTTATTTATTTTAGAGATATATTTTCTTTCTTTCTCTCTCCCTTCTTCACTATATTCTTTTCTGATAAAGTGTGTAAATTATCTAGTACTTCTTTAACCGATTATTACCACATTTTCTCCCTCTCAAAATCAATGTGCAGTGTGCATGGTCAGCATTCCAACAGTCATCCAATAGCTAGTCTAAAAGTAGAAATGTTTTACTCCTAATCGTCTTGTCTCATCGTCAGGTAAGAGGTCGCCGGAGACAAATGGATCCATTCGTAATTATCTGGTATAAGGTTTAAATCTTTCAACTTTTTTTTTCTATCGTTCTTTTCTATCTCCGCCATATTAGAATACTTCGTGGAAAGAAGTAGCACATAGTTTTTTATGATCAATACAAATGCACAAAGGAGAAGAGAAAAAGAGAGAAAAGGCGAGATAAAGCAGAATATTAATTCTTTTTTGAGAATATTTTTTCATATTATATCGCAGTGGTAACATAATTTTTTATTATCTCGTTTAAATTTTAGACAGAGTCCTGTATATATGTATGATTATTTTTCAATTCTTGTCAGTAAACAAGTAAATATCAAATTTTTTTTCTTTTAATATATAAATCATCTCTTTTCATGTGTTTTTTTGTTGTTATATTACCATAATCTCACTGTGACAATGTTCGTTGCCTTTAAGGACCAAGAGTGTCAACTTACCACTTGATGAGGGCGGGTGGGTTTCCGTATCTCGAAACGCATGAGATCAGGACTTCTTGTCCCTCCTGCAGCGTTAGCGTAGCGCCCAAAACGGCCCCCCCATATTCCAATTGAGGTTTCCTGGGTTTCACTGGAACACGCATTAGGGTGCACTTAGATAAGATAAAATGAGACAGAAATTGTTGTGTTTGGGTTACCCTCGATTTTGCTTCCTTTTTAAGCGAATGGTTATATATAATCGTGATCTTATCGTTACGGTCATGAATAACCAAGTCCAAAGAAGCCGATTGAGCCACTGGAAGCTCTCGACCAAATTTACATTAACACGGATATTGCAAAATTGCGGAAAAGTAGAGCATAACGACCGTTCTGTACGTTTTCTTGCATCACTCGAGGTCAATGTTCGCGGAATATTAACGATGCTTCCCCCAAACGGTTCGACGCGTTTTAATGAGATATTCGAGATTGCATTAGATATATGCTAATACATTGCATAAATTATATGAAAATATATAGAAATAAATTATAAGAAAATAATATAGAAAATGCTTTTTTTCTTAATAAAAAATATGCGCGGCATATTAATTGTGCGCAAATATTTATAAAACAAACTTTTATAACGCATGAATATGCGAAATATTATACTTTTCCATAATCATCTTATTTACATTATTTTGCTAATTAACTTTATGTCTAAATATATTATGTGAATATAGGCTATAATAGCTATTATATAGTAATTACATATAACATTGCTCTTTTTATCCTTTCATATAAATAATTTTTATTATCTAGATAAATTATTTTTTTTTAAATTCAATCTTTACTACATCGATAAGGAATATATTTACATTGCATTTTGAACAAATATATTTTTCATTTGTATGACAGAATATATCGCGAGGAAAATGCGAATAATTAATAGATGGATTAACTTTCAACATATTTTGAAAATTATAATACAACCGCTTCTTACTTTATCCTCTATTTATGATTGATAGCATATTCGGGAGCACTCTATTTATTTCGGTGGGAGAGAGATATCATTCTCTTATTTATTACAGTAAAACATTATATGTGAATGAATTGCTGAAGTAATTTTTCACACAGATCAAATTCTCACCCCTTACGAGCAACCTGGATTGTTCGGACGACAGTGCGTCCTGGCGGATAAAGTCACTGGATGTGACCTGGCATTCCCAGAGGCCGTCATCGAAGTGTAGGGAGGCTCGTCTGATCAACAGGGTGCAGTCGCTGCCGCGACCGCTCGCCCATTCGTACTTATCTGGATGCATGCCCACCGGTCTCCGGTCCTTCTGCCAGATGCACTGGCCGCGCTTATCCTGCACCGTGCAGGGTAGCTGCACATCGTCACCGGACGATACTTCCTGATAGAGTGGCGGCTTTTCGATAAATTGTTGTTCGCCGACGACCGAGTTGCGCCAGGTACACGCGACAAAAAGTAATATTGATAAACCGATAATCGAGCGATCGAGCGTCATTGTTGCGATAGAGCCAGGAGATTTGCGATTGATTCGATCAAGGCATCTTCGTTAAATATTGAAAGAAGGATTTGTCTAGAAATGGTTTCCTCTGGTATAAAGATTATTGAAAAATGAATAGATTCGGTAAACGTCTAGATTTGAGGATTTACGGAGCGATGAAACCGGGAATTCGATGGGTTATAGATTAGAATACCATAAAGTTTAAGGATTTATACATTCGAAAATTTTTATAGCTGTCAGGATCCGAGGATATAAGGCTTTGTAAATTGCGGAATGTTTTGATTTGAGAGTGCAACGGTCTGTAAATTAAGACATTCGTGGATTTTTGAGGATTTATGATTTAGAGAAATTATATAGGAATTTATGAAATAGAAGAAAAGATATAGAAAATGAGAGATGTGTATAAATATAAGATGCTGTTTAATTCAAGAGTTTGCGTCAAATGAAAAATTATATCCTTCAGAGAAAATAATGTATACGAACAATCGAAATATGCACGGTTGAAGATTCTTTCATCGATCTCAGAGTTCGAAGTAAGATATGATTCATATTACGTTCGCAGATCCACTCACAGATAAACAGAGCATACTCCGCCTTACATTTCGCCATCAACGATCGATGGAGTAAATGGTTCGTAATCGCGGAACATTCACTTGTGAGTCTTTTGCTCGAAAATTCATTGAAGCAGCGCGAACTCGCTCAGGCCTTGCATTTTATTGCCGCTCCTAATAGCGCGAAAGTCCGCGAGCGATCGAAATGGTTCCGAATGCTTTCACCAGGATTATCGTCTCGTCTTTCGGTGCGGTAAAAATAATGTTACAATTTTTTTTTTTTATAAAACTGAATAAAATAATTTAATAACTGGATGAGTGTGTTACCGATGTATACCGCACCGCACAAAACTCATTAATGATTGATCTTTGTTTTAGTAATCCACGAGAATATTTGTCACTGATACAACCAATCGCGTTTATAGCCACGTAGAGGCGCGCACGATCTATTCGGTGACGGTAAACACCGACCGAATGAGCCGCCTTCGAGTTTGAAGGGTCGTATCTCCACGCAACTGACGTAGCGCCTCCTCACGGATTGGTGAAAACTATACCACCCACCTGAATTCCGTTTTCTTTAGTGGTCTGTTCGATTATCATTTAATATGTTATTTAATTATTATTATTTGATGATATTTATGTTTGTTTCCGAGAAATATTTCTGTCATTTATGAGCCATTTGATCTTTATTCATAGATAAACTATCGAATAATTGTCTTACGGAATAATAGATTTCGAAAAAAGGAATTTCAATCCTATGAAATGCTTTATAAAATAGAGGTTTCAACAGCAGCTATATAAAAAGATATATAACGAACCTATTGAAAAATCAAGTGATCTCGGTATTTACATACGTACAACATTTTTTCAGCGCATATCACTTTAATTATTTTAGATCATTTTATTAAATAAAATTTTATATTTTAATTTTTTTATATATTAATAATCGCTCTTGGAACAAATTAAAAGCGTAAGTATGTTATTGATTCTTCAATTTTCAAAGTCAATTTTTTCGAAAACGAATTTTTCTAAAAGAAATCATTTTTTTACTTATTTTTGCACACAAGAAATCACTCTTTTTCCCGATTACATTTCACGATTTCAGACACATTTTATATAAAATTTTCGGTATATTATTTCTTGATAAATAACGATCCGCGACTGACAATGTTAAACCGTGGACATTTCAAGGCAGATTTTTTAAAAGTTCGTAGAGTATAATCGTGAATTGTACTATTGTATCATGTAAACGACGGTATAAATTTATACGCAACAGGAGAAAGTGGCAGAGACAATAAAAAGTTTAATCACACACACACACACAAATTTCATAAAACTTTTGTAATTACAATAACGCAAAATAGTGAAGAATTGAAAACAAATTTATCGTGTTTTTTTTTTCATAAAAAGAAACCAATTTGAAAGGATTAAAATATAGCGCGACGGAGTACTTGGCGCGGAAAGAAAGTGCGCGGTAAATAGAGTGATTGTCCAGGACGCGTGTTTCCAGCAGCATGACGTGGAACGCCACGAGTCGCGAATTAACCCGTTAAAGATTGAATTATTCTTTCTCTTAGAAATAACGTGCGTATTCGTATATTTATTATGCTATCTTATAAAAATTCAAGTTAAAAATTCAGCAGTTATTTGCGACGCGAAACATTACGAATTGAAATGAAGAATTATATTCTTGTCTCCGAAATAATCTATAGTTTTGTATATTTAATAAGTAAAATAACAATAAAGCCAAATTATTTAAGTAAAAAAAAAACTCGACGACTATATGTATAGCATTGCTTAAAAGTTATATTATTTTAATTATTAATAATTATATATATATCTCGTGCAAACCAATATCATTAGGATAAAAATCATGATTCTCATAATATTAATAATGTTCACTATTGTAATATGGTCATATTTACTTTTTAATTCCGTGTAATAAACATATGATATATTTCCGGGAGAAAAATTTAATTCAACTCTGACTTGAGTCTTAAGTTATCGTGCATAAATTTATATTCGAGCATTATAAAACATCGTAAATACAGGTCGTACTTGTGTCGAATTGTTTAGTACTCTACTATATGCGTAGTGGGAATTTTTATATAAATGCCATAGATATTCCGAGCACTCTTTGCATTCTACATAGAGAACCCCGACTCGGTTCCACATCGCGGTCCACATATAGTGACCGGACTGGAAGCGGAAAACGGACCCCAAACGCGGACTCACGCGTGCGTATCCAACCCTGTATCCTCTCCGGCGCTATCCTTATTATTCGAGCGTGTTATCATGTGCGCCATACACCGCGTTTCGTGTTAAATCATGCTTTATTTAGTTGCATTTTTTTACATTTTCTATATTCAAGTCTTGTCTCTAAACATATTAAAAAGATTATAATAGCCTCATAATATTTTTATGTCATTTGCATAGCAGAAGGATTTATTTTTTGCGCATAAACTTATCGTCAGAAACTTTTCATATTTAAAAAGTGAAAGTATATATGACAACTGAAGACAATCGGTTGATATATAAAATGATGGATAAAAGTATATAATGGTTTTGCAAATTTCTCTCAGTTTTGGCATATAATTTTAATAGTTTCTCATATACAATATTAATATTTTGTTTTATAAATTTATAACTCTATGACATATGAAAAAACTAATTACGTAGTTATGTTTAGTCGATAAAGTAGACAACTTCCCTTAATATATTTTCAAATTACCAGCAGAAGATACGCAATACTTTATTATTGGCTGAAATATTGCCGCCAAATTTCTGTCAGGTGGCGACCTCGCATTGACTTTCGTTATAATTTCGCAGTGTTTCGTATTCGTAGTGATTTGGCGCGGATCTTTTCTCCCCAAGTATTTTTAAGAAAATCCTCATCTAAACAGGTAAAATAAAAACTTTTTAACGTGAATATAACGCAGAATTAAAAGCCATCGTAATGTTATATTAGAATGTTCTCTTATAAATGTCGATTAATAATATTTTATTTCAATAAGTTGGAGGCGTCCTCTCTAACCTTCAAATATTTGGAAAGCGTTATTTGCGCTTAGTTGAAATCAATTGTTAATACACATATATTTAGCATTCATCTCTTAATTTATACATTTTTATGAATAACAGATCTCGAAATTATTCAATATATGTTATAAGCATGATATTTATCCCTACGTCTGTACGTTAAGTCAGAAAATGATGTTCTTATACAATCTGCATCATTGTAATAAATTTTAGAAACGTGATTATCGATTTACTTTCGTATTTATCTTCATGACAAATTGGGAACCCAATAATTGACATACGGTTCACAATTTTTTCCGCGCTTAGATGTAGCTTAGCGAAAATAACGTTGGTGTTTCAATTTCTGCCGATAATATTTTCTATAATCATACAAAGAATACCGATACAAAAGTTGCGCGCCAGCTTAATTGGCAACTGCAATTTCTCGCGATATAAATGCGCGATGAATATTTGCATTGAATTTATAAACGATCCCGGTTATTTTCGCGCGGCAATCAATTCGCGGCAATTATACCCGTTACAGAGCGCGTATCCTCTCTTTTGAGCTTTTGAACTTTCGCCCCGATATATATATATATATACATATATCGTCGCGCGCGCGTTATGCAGATTATCGTAAAAACATTTAAACGCGTTAACGCCGGAGCTTTGCGCGGAAGCGCGCGCGATCGTTTATCGCATCATCCTCGCGAAACTTGATACAGCTCGCGCTATAGTTTTTATCGTAGATTGAACTCCGGGAGTCGTGTTTTTCAATTTGACCCCGGGTCGCGCGCCCCTTGTTACCCCCTCTTGTCCTGCCGCCGTGCGAGGTGATTACGAAATTACACGAGTGCGTGCATCGCATTTCGATTAAAACGAACACGGTTCTTTCGGGGTGAGGAGGGAAACTCAGCGGAAAATCCGCATCGGCGCCGTCCGCGCGAACATATCGGCGATAATATCGTTCGTAAAAAGCACGCGGCCGCGTTCTTGACAGCGATAAATATTTCGTGTCACGCGTGCATACCTGCGTATATATATTACCGATACGCGGCACTAAATCTGCGATGCTGCAAATTTGAGACGCGATAAACTGTAATCGGAAAGGCTACGTCGAAAATTGTACACCGTATGTTGTATCTTTACGAGAACGTATTGCAACGCGCGATCTCTGTGACACGGTTCTGTTTTATAAAATATTCAGTGTTTTCTTATCTGATTTTGTATAGAGTGTATAGTATTATTTGGCAGCATGTTTGATCTCAATTGTAGATCTTTTTCAGGAGAATTTTAAGTTGATTTTTTTTGTAATGCAAGATTGTGTATTAGAGAACTTACAATAATAAAGTTATTTAATATTCTTGGCGAATTATGTCTTCAGAGACATCATGAGACATTTTCTTAAAGAGTTTATATTAATTAATAGAGTTTCAAGCCAAGATTTGGTTACTAATATGTTTAATTT